GCCTTCTCCTTATCTCTTGACCATGATCATTTCTGCCTGCTTTGTCTTTGCTCTCATTTTTATCCTAATTATATGCACGCCATGAGTTTCAGCTTTTCATGGACTCTTTCCTGTAAGACAAGCCCTACTAGTCCTAGGACTCTTACCTTCTCTGGCCTTCATCTTCTGTTCCACATGTGGGTGTCTAAGTAATGGAATGAGATTTTAAACTTATTTTATACCTACAGTGTATTCCTTGCATACCTAGCACAGTGTTGGATGTATCATTGACATGTAGTATACATCCTTATTAAAATTCTATGATTAATTAAATATGTCTTATTTTTCTCATTTATAGCATGTACAGTACACTTCTGGCTCATAAAAAACTACATATACGAAATTTTGCTGCTGAAAGCTTTACTTTTTTGATGAGAAAGGTTAGTCTGATATTTTGTATGTTTATTGCTAGTTAACCATCCAGAATATGATGAATAAAAGCAGATATCGTTTTTTAATGTGGTTTTTATGGGCTAATTTTTTTATATGTAAACAGAAACCTGTTTCTATTTTGAATATATCTTACTGTAAGGTTTAGTCTTTGCTCACTAATTATTATTATTATTATTTTATTGTAACATTTGATTGTGTGTAACTGTGGGTACAGAGTTGAATACCTGTGTGCAATATGTGGTACTCAAATCAGGATAATTAGTATATTCAACATTATAAAATGTCATTGTTTTTCATGGCCTTTTACCAGTTCCTCCCTTACCCACCTCCCTGCCTTCCCACCTCTGGTAACCTCAGTTGTCTTCTTTTGAAAGTTCGATGTATTATTGTGATTGTGGTATCATTCGTTCTTTCTCTTTTTTTTTTATTTATTAGTTTAGTATTTAGCTTCTCTTATGAGTGAGGACATGTAGTACTTCTCTTTCTGTTTGCTCACTAATTAATGTGATATAACGTGGGTCACTCTTTGATTGTTATTTGGGTTTTTGGTAGCTTTCGGTGTATATATATCAAAAGTGCTATCTACTTGAAGTCAGCAAGTACATGAACAGTGAGGTTAACGGGAATTACTGTAATAGTTTCCTAGAAGGAACTGGCAACATAGTGTCATTTGTATTTCTCTAAAATTTCCATGGTAAAACTTTAGAGGACTTTTATAATAAGACAAAAACATTGGTATGAAGTTTCTTTTATGCTCATTAAATACAAATATATGATTTACTTTAAAAGGTAGAATGTTGCCTTATATAGTTTTTCTTCGTACATACCTTCCAATGAATGTTTATTGCTCTTGTGTGTGACATTCCAAGTAAGAGTATACTATGATAGTAGTTNCGCTCCCAAGTGGCGCACTCTCTAGTGCGCCACTGGGCCGGCCCAATCCAGTCACTTTTTAAAAGTCCCACCTTCCACCACCATATTGGAGTTAAATTCCAATGTGAACTTGGGGGGGACATTCAAACCACAGTATTGGGGAATATAGTTGATTTGATATTATGACTTCAGTTGTTATAAAAGCTGTCATTTTTATGTCTCCTAAGTTAGGCCCCTCAGTTCTAAATTTATATGACTTCTTCAACAGCCTGGATTTTTTCACTTGAGTATTACTGAAACCAAACTATCTTCATATTCATTCATGTGTCAATAAATATGCCAGGCCCTATTTGGTTGCCCATTTTCTATCAGTGATATGAACATTCTTCCCATTGCTGAGGCTTGGTGTCTTAGAGGCATTTTTGTCCCAGTTGTCTTTAGGAACTCCAAATCCTCTTGATTCTGTCATTCAGGTACTCACTTAGTGAATATTTATCAAATACTGTCTGTGTGTCAGGCACTTAAGATACAATCACAAATAAAATAGATAAAAATCCCTCTTTTCACAAAGTTTGCATTTTAGGAAGCAGAGAACATCCTGAGCACATGCCTGGCATGTTCAAGGAACAGCAAGGAGTCCTGGGTGGCAGAACAGTGTAAGGGTGAGAGTAATTAAGCGATGCCAGAGAAGTATTAGTAAGGGAGTCAGATTGTAAAGCGTCTTGTGGACCACTCTAAGGTCTTTGGCTCCATTGAGGGGACTCTCGAAATGTCTCCTGGTCCATACTATGTCATTTCCCTCTGCCACCAGCCTCTTTTTTGCCTTGTTAAGCCCAAGCTNTAAAATTTCCATGGTAAAACTTTAGAGGACTTTTATAATAAGACAAAAACATTGGTATGAAATTTCTTTTATGCTCATTAAATACAAATATATGATTTACTTTAAAAGGTAGAATGTTGCCTTATATAGTTTTTCTTCGTACATACCTTCAAATGAATGTTTATTGCTCTTGTGTGTGACATTCCAAGTAAGAGTATACTATGATAGTAGTTTGATATCATCACAAATGTCTTTTGCTTTCAGAATTTTTTCTTAAGTATATTTATATATGAATATGGAGAATAACATAAGATTTTTTCATTTGGATATGTTTATGTTATAAATATAATTTTCCATTTCCATTTTTCATTTTAGGTCTCTGATAAAAATGCACTTTTCAATTTAATGTTTCTTGATCTTCATGAACATCCAGAAAAAGTAGAAGGAGTTGGACAATTGATCTTTGAAATGTGCAAAGGAGTTAGAAATATGTTTCACTCCTGTACAGGCCAGGTAAGTAACGGGGAGGAGTGCTTAGAGTCTGTTTGGAAGGATTAAACAGAAAGTAGAAAGGAATTAGGCAAGTGATATGGAGGGAGGATAGCCTAGAATAAATTGAAAGCACTAAATAGGGAGCATTAGGGGACTTAATAGCAGTGGTTACCTGATGTAGGCCGTGGGTGACTAGATATTTTTACTTACAAAATCATTGCTGTCTTCATCCTGAATATTAGGAGGTAACATAAATTGATTATTGGGCAAGGGTGGGTGGGGAGGGGACAGTTATAAAATTTCCCATCCTAGTTTGGAAATTCCTTTTGGGACACATAGCTAACTTGATTATCAAAGCTGCCATATCCTTGATTATTCCAGATTTTTAAGGTAGCTAATATAATCAGGGTGGTAAATCACAGTTTACTGCTTAAAAATAAGGGTTTATGTGTCAGTTTTAATGACTTGCATTCCCACAGGCAGTGAAACTAATTTTGCAAAAGCTAGGACCAGTTACTGAAACAGAAACTCAGCTACCATGGATTTTAGTTGGAGAAACACTGAAAAACATGGTCAAGTCCACTGTGCAGTACATCTACAAGGAAAATTTTGGTGCATTTTTTGAATGTTTGCAAGTAAGTTCTAATTTTTAAGGATG